GGAGGCTCCGTCCTGTCCAAGCAGAGCTGCATCTCTCCCTTTCTTCCCTGCCTCCCACTCTCACTCGCTCTCCCAAGGGGTAGCTACAGTGCATTATAAATTTTACCTTTCTAGTGTGTAGGAGAGGCGAGAGGAGGCTCTGTCCCAGCTCTGGGCCTGCCCGTCCCTGAGGACACCAATTAAAGGCACTAATTGGACAGCAATACATCAAAGTCGCTCCCGGGAGTGGGTCCTCAGAGCGCCAGGAATCCTTTAGTTGGGCTTTTGTTTCAAACACAGAAACAGGAAAAAAACACGCACGCACCTCGACGCGGGCAGGAGTAGGGCGCGTGCTGTGCAGCGTGGGCTCCTCCGTCTCCGCGCTCGCTGGGAGTCTCTCCCTACCCTCTCTTTTTCCGGCTCGGCACAGCAGACGTTCGATCCCTCTTCTGTTCTGAGTTCACCTCACTTACTTTTCCAAAGAGCGCCGCCTAGAAGGCCCGCTCTTCTGAGACAAGCTTACTAACAGCCCGCGTAGACGCGGCACACGGTTGTACCCCAGAGCGCCAGTTTCGGGAGAAACAAACCCACCTCCCCGCGCGCTTCGTTTTGGCCTTTCCCTAAACAGGTTGAGGGAGGGCAAGTCCACACCTGGGGAGGCACCTGTCGCTTGGACTCGACTGCGAGGCTCCCGGACGCCTGCGGGAGGAGGGCTACGGAGGGGAACCGGCCTCACCCAGGAGGGGTGATTTCAGGATACGGAAAGGGACACTTCGATGGGAGAAGGAAAGGGTTCTTCTCTGGGGGAACTAGACGCTGCTTACAGGCCCAAGGGCACCCAGAGGACCCGACCATGGAAGAGGTTCCGGCCCAGAAGAAAGTGAAGCTACCTCGGGCGCGCTTCCGGTCCCCAAATGGCAATGGGCAGGCGTCGGGGGGGGAGCTGTGGAACGGGGTCTTTCCCTGCCATCGGCTTTAAAAGGAAGCCGGAGCCTCCAGAGTCCAGAAGCCACCAGTAACCTGTGCCCCGCTTGCGCAACGAGCCCTCCCAACTTCAGCAACAAAGGCCCCAGCGCCCTGCGGGTCAGACCCAGGCCCAGGGGCCAGAGCGCCGTACGGGGAGGGACGGAGACCCGAGCACCAACTGGGACGTCCTGCGGTCAGCGTCCGGGGGTCGCTGTTCCTTGGCTTACCCAACCCGGGCCACTGGCGGCGGCCACCTGCGCGGGGGAGGCGGGAACCTTAAGCCGGCGAGAGCGAGGCCCGGCCCGGGTCGCCATCGCAGCCGCAGCCACAGCCACCGCACAGGCTGGCGCGCCGGGGACTCTCGGCCTCACCTGGGACCTGGGGAGGCCAGAAGTGCCCCTCATCCTACAGGGCCGCGCCAGCTCCCTTCCCTCGGGAAGCCAGATTGGAATGACTGCTTTTGATCCCATTTGTTACCAACCCCAGCATTTGTTTTCCATTTTATAAACGCTTCCCTTTAAGTAATTGTCCCTGTTAACAGCGTATACCTTTCAGCAGCGCTCACTGCACTATAAATAATCTCGATGAAGATGCAAGGATATGACTTTCACAAGATTGGACAATTGATTCAATCTGTGACCCGCGATGGCGAATAATATTGGAAGGCTATTTAAACAGATGAAGGCCTAAATTGTCTTGCTTGTATCTGAATTAATTTCTCATTCATCATCATTATGAAGTGATTGGTCTATTCAAGCTCTTCAGCCTGCTGGAACGGAGCGGGATTTAAATGAGATTGTAACACAATTTAAATGCTTGCCGACTTTAACGAGGCCAATTGAGCAGCTGCAATAAATACAAATATTTTTCTAAACAGCCTTGTTTTAAATAATTACTTAATGCTTTCATGTTATTTTTAAGTGGCAATCTTTCTCTCTCTCTCCTGCTCCTGCTCAGAGTATCACATATTTGCTTGCTGAGAAGGTGATTTTGAAAACGACTTTGTGTTTCTGTTTGCTTTGTAGACAGTGGAACGTCTTTTGTGATTGGGTTTTGTTTTGTTTTATCTTTTTCTCAGGGTCACATTTCCAGGGTCCCTCAAGCTGGCACAAATGGTGAGCTGAGCCTTAGTTTCACCCGAAAGCAGTCTTCTATGCCTACCCCCCGCAGAGCTTGGGAGGAGCTGAGTGATGGAAGAAATTAGTCGTTTGCATCTAGTCACTTATCCAGACGCAGTTTAGCTGGGTTTTGCAAACGAATCCGAGTGACTGCACTTACAAATGATACCCTGAAGAGTGGCATCATTTCTGATTTGTCCTGATGACCATCATCATCTTGAACAAATCTGAATTCCAGCGTATCCCAAAGGTGTTCCTTAGGAAGTTCAATCTGCCAGCAGTTTGTCTTCCTGCAAATCAAAAGGAGTAGGTGGAGGCTGACTGAGGATCTCTTTGTTAGGGAAGGGGCACAGAAAGAGACCCTTACCATAACAAATAGTGGCGGGTGAGGGGGAGGGGGTTGCTAATTAGAGAAATGCCAGTTTTGTGACCTCAGCCTTCTGTCTTTCCTACTTGTGCCCCCACTCCTACTCCTTCCTCTACCATTCTGGGTCGATGGTGTATTGAGAGCATGCTAAGATCCCTACTTTGAGAATGCCATTCGTTTGGACGTCTTTGGCGGCAACTGTCCACCATGACACTCACACTCACTCTCCGGTGGACATATGACGGCTGGTGTTTCCTCACTTGGGGAATAATGGAAGCAGCCGAGCAGGAGAAGCCTGAAGAACAAAAGAATCTTTTAAACTTTAGTGAAAGGGCTGAGGTTAGGGATGAGGGGGGACACTCAGCTTACTGTCAGGACCTGAGCCCCATTTGGGGGATGGCTGTCCAAGGCCATGTCCCCTGGAAGGCCTAGGGCAAGGAAATGCATTCTGAATCTTTTCTCCCTCAACCTGGGATTGAGGGAGAGAAACTTCATGCCTGGACGGTGCGGGTACAGGGTTTGAAACTAGGAAGGTGGAGTCAACATAAACACTAAAGAAACCATTATTGGGGCATGCCACATTGGGCAATAGGATCAAACTGTAGGACAGAAAAAAAAAAAAAAAAAAGGAACAAGGATGCAGAAACCAAGTAGCGATTTGCTATGTAACTGAGCAATTTAATGCCAGAGTTAGGGAGCTGCTGGCCGGAATCATTTTGTCTTCGAGGCTCTGCGGAGCTCATCCTCTTTATCCTGTTGTTTAAAATGAGCATTATCCCAAACATATGCAATGCAATCAGTTTGGTCACACTTACAAGAACACGCTTTAATAAGGCAATCAATCACACGCTAACAAGCCGGCGATGGCCCGGGGGCTGGCGCACACTCGGGCTGCGGGGCGGCCAGCCTTGCCCAGCTGGACGAATCTGGGCTGGGCGCTGGACCACGCTCCCAGAAAGAGCGAGTTGGGAGCCCAGTGTCAGGCTTCACTGGGGGTTATCTCAGAATCTGTGCCCCAAAACAGGATGAGAGAAGAGGAAGTGGGAGCCAGGAGCTCAAAGCTACATTGGCCACTGATAGCTGTGTAGACCTGGAGCCTCCATTTTCCCACCTGCAAAATGGAACCAAGATGAGACAAATCCAAGTAGAGGCACTCAGAAAGTTGAAAAATGAAAACAATATCATGCCAGGCCCTGGTCTAGCCTTCTTGTTTTACAGATAAGGAAGTTGTGATTGTGAAGGGGCAGTACATTCTTCAGAGTCAACTCACTTCCTCCCTGCCACCACCCAAATGGGGCAGGTCATGCCAGATGGGTTTGCCTGATGCAAGTGGGCTAAGAATGTCTGGGGGGAGAGGGAGAGTGAGAAGCAGTGCCCAGCACCAAACCGCAAACCTTGGCAAAAGGGAAATTTCATTATGAAGTAATGAGTAATTCCTCCTGGCAAGATGTATTGTTATATCTTCCACTTCAATTTGGAGGAAGAGAGGCTCAATTACCCAGAAAATACAGTCAATTAAAGGCTGCTGATTGGACACGAAGCCGGATCATCGATCTTGTACTTTCCAATATCACTGCAGACACCTCATTTTCCCTCCCTATTAACTGAAAATACGCCTGGCATTAAGGCAACCCGAAGCCCATTTACCTGTCGCAAGCAATCTCTGCCAGACGCAGAGCAACCACAAAATTTACCAGGATTTGGCACTCGGGAGCTCCTGGCTGCAGGGGAGGGGTTGCTGGAAACCTCAGGGCACACTTTGCTTGGGAGGGAACTGGCTACTGTATGCAGGAGGATTTGCTGTGGAACCCAAGGAGGAAGGAGTGCATTTAAGGAGTCTGTATCTGCTGGCAGAGACACTGGCAGAGGACCCCTCCTGTCTATGTAATCCAGAGCGTCTTGGACTCCTAGAAGGCACCCATCTCTCCCCTGCTTGAGTGGAACTCCAGACCCATCCACATTTGGTTCTCCTGTGGGGGGTATAGGATTTAGAAGGTGGCTGCTGAGCACTGCCTGTCCCTTTGCCCTAACCCCCAGAATCCCACCCTCAAGATGAATTCCAGTCTGTGGACAATTCAGACCAAGATGATCCCAACCAAGGAGGCCTCCTCCCTGCTGTCCCTCATCCTCAAGTGCAGACCCAGCTTGACTAGGAAACTCAGCCCTCTGCAGTGCCCAGGCTCCACTGCCACTGCCTCTCTCACCTTCCCTTTGGAAGACAGGTTGCTCAGAGACCACAACCTGGGTCCCCTTTCAGTTGCTCAAAGAATTGGAACAACTGGGGAAGAAATCATCACAGAGGTGGGTCCCTGGCAGAACTCTGCTGCCACTTTACCCAGCAAGGGCTCCCAACATACCAAAAATTAAGGAAACATGCACCCCAGGGCAGCTTGGAGCCTGCCTTCTCCACCTCCATGCAATGGCTGTTTGGAGCCTACCAATGACAAACAGAGGCTTAGAAGGCTGTCTGTGGGTCCATCTTTTGGTCCCTTCCCTACTCAAACCCATGGTGGCTGAACTACCAATTTTAAGAGTCATTATGCTGCTTGCTGCCACAAAAACTAAAATGCTAAAGTGAGAATTATGTCCAGCTTTTATTGCAATATGGTTAACAAATCATAACAGCAAATTCTTTGGGCTTCAAAGGAAAACCCCAAACCAAACCAAATTTATTCCCTACAGGAAGAGCCACTCCCTCTCGGTGAGGATGAAGCTTGCATTGGGGGGTACACGTTCTCCTCTTCCTCAAAAACTGGCTGCAAGAATGAGTATGGGAGTGAGGATTTGGGAGTGTCTCTAAACAAACCTTGGTGGAGGGCAGAGACAGGGTCCCCAGAAGGGGCAGAAGGCTCCCACTGGTATCTGAAAGTCAAGCACCAGTGGTAGCTGGGGAAGAAAATGAGAGAAAGATGTAAAACGCCCAGTGCAAAGGGTAGGGCCAGAAAACTCCTGGTAAAGTGAAGGTGAACAGGCAAAGGATGAAAATTGCCTCTAATTTGCCGCCAGATACGGAGAGAGGGAGATGAAGTTCCCACTCTCTAAGCTTTTCCCTGGGCACCTTGTTAACAGCTCAGCTCTGGGCTCAGTGGCCAGCTCCGTGGTGATCATTATTATACATTTAATGTTCACAAGCCCTCCTTGCACACATCACTTGCTAATCAGGGTGTGTGCTGGGCCCAGGGAAAAGAGGCTTGGCCTCATAGAAGCTGCCAAGGGCTCCTGGGGCATCTGCAGCCTCCCTGCCAACAAAAAAGTGGGGGCAGGGAGAGATGGAGCTGCACATTGAGAGGTGTCATAAAGCTGGGAATGAGGAAGAAGATCGGATGTTGGAAGACGCCAGACCCAGAAGATGCTGCGTAGTTGAGGCTCCAGGTTCCATGCCAAGGGGCTGGATCCTCCCTGGTAGTAAATCATCTCTCACTCCCTCCTCCAAATGACTGGTATGTTGCCATCCACCAACCCCTTGCCATGCCTTGGAAAAGCTGGCAAAGATTAATCTCTACCTGCTCTGCATACACAGCATTTTGTTCAGAGAGATAGCAATTTCCCTTTCCAGTGCTTGGGCCTTGGCTGGGGAGAGGGGGCCAGGTGAGAGGGCATGTGAGCTGGAGGGTGAGGGACAGGGGGCTGGAAGTTGGTTGTTGCTGCTAAGTTTTGTTTAGCTTTGGAGCTACAGCCTCAACTCTGGTGGGGGCGGTGGATCCGGAGGCCGCCCCGGTGGAAGGACTCTCAACCTCTGCTTCCCCATCCCCACTCCTGCTCCCCAAACGCGCCACCCACGGCCACTTCCTAGGCTTCCCGATTCTTGCGACCTGATCCCGCTAGTCCTTTTCCGCCTTCTCCTTTCCCCGTTGGCGTCCTGGGGGCAAGGAGCGAGGCTGGCTGAGTCCCGGGGGCGGGGGTGACCCCACGGGCGTCCTGGAGCCGGCAGGCAGCCAGCTGGCGGCCCCTTATCTGGTAAGGGGCACCTCCTCCCTCTGGTCCAGCGCGACGGAGGAGGCCTTGCTGAGCACCGAGGGCGCGAAGGTGAGGAAGGAGTCCGAGCGGGAGGTGGAGGCACAGGTGAAGTCCGAGGCGGCGGCGGCCCTGGGCGCCAGCCCGCTGGCCGGGCCGCTGTGACAGGCAATGCAGGAGCAGGGGCCTCCGGCCGAGGCGCCCAGTCCGTGCGCGGGCCCGGGGTAGAGCGGCGGGTGGCGGAAGGCGCACAGCAGTTCGGGCCGCGGGTAGGGCTGCGACAGCACGCGGAACGTGTCGAGGGGCCGCAGCGGGCCGCTGAAGGGCGACGCGGCCGAGGCGGCGGACGCGGCGCCCAGGCCCACCGGCGAGTAGTAGGGCAGGGGCAAGTGCGATGGGAAGGGGTAGGGCAGGCCGCCTGCGGCCGCCGCATGGCTCATCATGTACGTGTAGAAGGCGGGGTCCGCCGGGTGGGGCCACGTCATGGCCAGGCGCTGCCTCTTGTCCTTCATGCGCCGGTTCTGGAACCACACCTGGGGAGAGGAGCGGAGCAGGTTCGGCTGCTGGACTCGGCCCGATGCCCAGAAGCCCGAAGTCCGGTCCCGCTCGGGGGACAATGTTTGCAGCGCAGGAAGAGCCAAAGCGGACACCAGCTGGGTAGAGATGGACCCTACCACCACCACCTGAAGCTGGAATCCCTCCGAGAGAGGTTCAAGAAGTGACTCCAGCCCGCTCCCTCCTTGCCTCTACCCAGGTGGCCAGGCCCCTCGGGGTGCCAGAGCCCGGTGTTGAGGGGCAGTGAGAAGAGGTGGAGTCAATCGACCTGCGCTGACAGCGCGTCCCCAGAAAGACAGTGCGTCCCCAGAAACTTCCTTGTCACCCGCAGAGGCACTCTATTCGCTCTCGGCATTCCCACCCCTTGTCTATTTAGCCAGGAAAGGGACAGAGTCAACCACATGGCAGCAATACCTGCCTAGGAGCTGTCACAACGGTAAATCTGCACGCGCCCGCGCCGGGTAGAGAGACCCCAGGCCCAGATTCCAGGCGTGTGATTTAGGGAGTGGGCAGTTGGTATTTACTTCCCGCTAAATAGGTGCACACCCGCCTCCCCAGCCCAGACCCCCGCATACCTTGATGGTGGTTTCCGGCAGGTTTAGGGCGGCCGCCAGCTCGCATCTCCGCGGCCTGGATACGTAGTTCTCCCGGTAGAATTCCTTCTCCAGCCGCGCAATCTGCTCACGGGTGAAGGCGGTGCGGTAACGACGCATCTGGTCACTGGCGCTGCACGCCAGGGTGCCTTGCGAGCCGCCACCGCCGCCGTTGCTCTTGGGGGTCTCGCTCCCTCGGTTCGGACTGCTGACCAGCGCCTCGGAGCCGGACCCTGCACAGCGAGTCCAGAGCATAGGCGTGTACAGACACAGACACACAAACGCCACTGAAGCGGGGCTGTAGGCCTAAGGTGGGAGGGTGATTTGGGAAGGGACACCCCCTCAGCCACCTCAGTAACTGTTTCTGCTGGAGCTCTGTGGCCTCTTGGGAACCCAGGACGGGAGATAAGGGCCTGTCCTTGATTCGGTTGGTGGAGGTCTTTGGGGAGGCCTTCCTCTAAGACATCCAGGGTACAGGGGTTCGCAGCCATCCTTCCCACCTGCCCTGGGGCATAGGTGAGCTCTCTGACTCGGGTTGGCAGCGGTGGATAAGGGTGTGCACTTCTGACGGGCGCATGAGTTGAGGTGCACCTTTGTGCTAGAGCGTTGTAAACTCTGGGTTCGAGTACATTGTAGGATGCTGGGCGTTCAGAGAATTTCCTTGCTCTTACGTGTGCCGGGCTGCCAGAACAGGTGCGGGAATGTGTATTAGGTTCCGTGTACTGCAGAAGTGGAGTGAGAACGCATGATGAGTATCGTATTCATTACCTTAGTATATGTGAGTGGAGTGCAGGTTGTCCTGAGGGCAGGTTATGGGAAGGAGGCTGGGTGAAGTGGGTGATAAGACGGCATGGGGTAGGTGCAGGAATTCAACAAGGTGTTGGCTGCCAAGGCAAGGGGGTGGTCTTTCCTCCCTCCCAGGCTCTTTTCACCCACCCTGTAGTTCTGTGGAGGAGTGTCCTACGGTAAGCGCCCCCACACCCCAGTTTTCTACCCCCTTCTGAGGGGGTGATTGTTGGCACAGAGGGAAACTCCCTTCCGGGCTATCCACCCCCTTCCCATTAGCCTTTGGTGGGGAGGGGTTCTTCAGTTAAACCAGCCCCCCTTTGGGCCTACCTCTGAGAAGGGTGGGGCTCCAGCCCCCTGCAGCTCCTTTTCCTTTGGGTGGAGAAGTGGGACTAGGAAGGAAAGGGGAAGGGGGGGAGGACCCGATCTCTGCCTTTTCAAATGCAACCGGAGACCAAAGGCAATTAGACCATTGGGACCATTTCCGACCTGGCGCCGCCAAGCCCGGGAAGTGACAAGGTAATTTGGACCTCTGACCGACGTGCAAACTGGTCGGAGGGCTGCAGCACCCGGCTTGCCCTAGTGGGCCGCAATTTTACGGTTCTTTATGGACCCCTGGCTTCCGAGCCTCCATACCTCTTACACCCCGCCAGCCACAAACTGCCGGGACTGGCGTTTGATCTTGCCCTCGCCTGGGAAATGTGTCTTCCCCGAGCAGCTGAAGCATTCCCCGAGCAGTTGAAACACAGGGGGTTTGGGGTGAGCTTTGAATCCCCCAAGCCCAGGACTTGCATTCGTCCCTCCACCCCCCGCACTCAAGGCTCTGCTGTCACCCTCAGTCCCGCCAATGCCAGAACACAGTAGGAGACCCCCCAGAAGGCAAATAGCAGGGAGAGTTGCTCAGGTGGGTCCCCCCAGCCATCCTGCCCTAGGAGGAGGAAGTGTCTTCCTCCCGGCCTACGCCAAAGTGAAGGGTGTGCACAGTGGGAGGCCCGGGGAAGCGGAGGGGCGCGGTGGCTACCTTTGCTGTGCTGGTACTCGGCGTTCCCGGTGGCGCAGTCCGGGGTGCAGCTCACCTCGATTTCTTCATAGAAATCCGACTCGGTGTCCGAGCTGCTGGGTTGCCCCTGGCCGTCGGCAGAGGCGGCTGGGGGTCCTGGGCCGAGCATGGCCGCCCCGGCTACCCTGGGCTCGGCGCCAGGCCCAGCCGCGCTGCCTGCTAGTCCATCGATCGGCTTCTCCTCCGGGCCTCCCCCGCTGAGCTCCCGGTTGGCCGGAGGGACGGCCCGAGGGCTCAGGCAACCACGGGGCACCATCTTCTCGGGCGGCTCCGGCAGCGGGCTGCCCACGGCTTCGGACAAATTGGAGACCCTCTTGCCAACCAGAGTGCCAAGCTGACCCCCATCCAGAAACATAACCATGTCCTTTCGGCTCTCCATCCCGGGGCTCTCCGGTGGGGGAGGGGAAAGCCCCAAGTGAGTTCCTAACCCCGGCTCCCTGGGTCTCCAGCGGCCGGATGGATCTCGACTGCAAGAGGGAGAGAGAGGCCGGGCTACTGGGCGGGCGCGGAGCGGCTGGAGCGTGGTGTGGACGGCGACAGCGGCGGTGGCTGTGGGGAGCTAGGGTCACCTTGTGATGCGAGCGCTCCTCTGCGCCGCACAGCCTCTGGGAGGAAGCCCCATTGCCCTCTTCTTTCTAAGCTGTCATCCTCCTGCTGCAATCGTCATTACAGTACCGCTGGTGACGCCACTCGGCGAGCGCAAGTGGATAAATAGAAACGTCTGCCACAGCGAAGATGAAAGGAGACCCGCAGCTAATGGCTCGGCAGTGATGCGCCAGGTGTGGGCCTCGCTCGAATGGGGAGGAGAGTGTGAAAACAGACAGAGAGACACACACACTGAGAGGGAGACACCCAGGCAGAGGGGATGCAAATGGAATTCCGCAGAAAGAAAAGAGAGCTTAACGCGCGCGGCGAGTTCCGCAGGGGCAGCGGGACTTGGTAATTAAATACTCTTTTGATTTTTTTTTCTTTTATTGTTGTTTTGACTTTTGTTTTCTTAACTTGGTGCCTTGATCTATGAAAGAATCCATAACTGCATTTTAGAAGTGTGAAGCCTGGCTTACAAGCCTCAATTCTGCCGGCATTATTACAACTGTCTGCCCCTGGCAGCTAACCTCAAACCGGCTGAAAAGTCTTTTTACGAGCGACGGAAAAACGTATCCCCCCGCCCCAAGTTGACTGCAGAGCTTGAGGCTGGGCCATCTTTTCCTCTCTTCTCCTCTCTCTCCCTACCCCCTCGGTCTCCTTACTCCTGGGAATCAAACTTTGCTATTTTTCTTCCCCAAGGGGCAAGAAATAATTTTTTTTTCTTTAAAGGCCTGCCTGGGCTGCTGTGAGAGTGTGTGCTGAGTTTTATTAAATGCCTCCTTCCCATCTATATGACCTTACGTTTTCCACAGCCTAGCTTCAGCTGGAGATGGCTGTTCATGGAAGAAGTCGCTTTCCCATTTGTCTGGGCCTCGCCTGCACTCCAGGTATGTTGGGTGCGGAGAGGTTCTAAGAGTTGTCTTTTTTTTCCTTGCCCATATTTTGAGTTTTTCGTTCAGAATCAACGAATTCTCCTGGAAAGATGTTTTTCAAATGAAGAGGCGCCAGGAAATGCAGCCCCTGCTGTGGCAGTGCTGAAGGCTCCTAGCCGGGAGATGGTAGTAGCTTTCACAGCGGTATTTTGGGTAGGGGTTGAGCCTCCTGGAGCACAGAAAGGTTGAGGTTCATAAAGGTTTGATTCATAAGGTCCTCTACCACGTCCCTGCCCAGGTGCAGTGGTCCTTGTCTCCAAAAGTGGGTGGTGTTTGAGGTAGAAGAGAGTGAAGTCACTGAAAAATGCCTTAAAACAGCAAGTAACTAGGGGAGCTGATGAAGGGCTGGAGGTGGGAGGCAGAGATTGCGGGAACTTGATATTTCTGGGCTGCCATAGGCCTCTCTTGGCTCCCCTTCCAGGAAGAAACTGGAATAGAACTCCTTCAAACTGACCCCTTTTGAGCTCCAAGCAAGTGTGCTGCGGCCAGGTAGGTGGGCTGGGTCTATCCCCACATTGCTGACGGCAGGAGGTGGGCACCTTCTATGCTCAACCCCACTTTCTCCACCTCTCCCCAAGAGCTTCTAGCCCTAGGCAGCCAGCTGCAAAGGGCAGCCCCGGCACTTCTCTCCTTTCCATGCCCCTAGCAAAGTCCCAGCTTTTATAGATAAGTCTTCTTCCGTGACCTTTTAGTCTGTTATCTCCCACTTTTCTCTCCTCTTTCTCCTCCCTCTTTGCTTCTCTCCTCCATCTTCCTATCCATAGGGTTATGGACAGGGTAGAGGAAGTAAGAGGTCCAAAAAAAGACAAAAGTTCCCTCCCCATTCTGGCTTTCCACTTATCCCCCATCTCAGAAGATGCTCGTTAACCTTGCCTGGGATCCGGAGGGTAGAGTCCACATAGATATCTCCACTCCCGGGACTCCTGAAGCCACTATGTGCTGAGCACTGATAGCCCAAAAATCCAGGGGAAATGTTTCAGGGGTATAAGGAATGATTGGGAGTGGGGGAGTCAAATCCCAGGACCTTTTGCTGCCTTGGAGGGCTGCCCAGGGATTCTATCATGCTCTGTCCTCCTACCAGCAGCCACAGCCTGAGGGAGCACCTGGCTTGCTCTCTTTCCTGTCAATGACGAGCCCCCTGGGCATCTGTCTTAGAGCTGCCAAGGTTGCCTACTCTCTGCCGGGCCCTCCAGCACTGGGCCTTGGCAGCGCTTACCCTTTTTTCCCCGTTGAACATTTCGCCTTCTCATAGCCTGAGGTTCCCATCTCCTGGGGGTGAGTCCTCAGAGCAACTCCAGGCTCCTCACCCCGCCCCCAGCTCTACATTCAATGGGAATTCTCTGTTTGATCCTCTTTTCCTCTGGGTGAGATGAAAGCAGAGTAGGAGTGCGAGATCAAGGAGTACCACTTAGTCTCCTTCCTGGGTTGCCGGACCAAGCTGAGCTTCCCCTTACATCCTGGGGAGAGCGCTGGATGGAGTTGAGGAGGCTTTTCAGAGGAGGCTGCCTCCTTTGGGCTCCAGAGCTGAAGCTTCAGGGACACATCCCTCAGCCCAGTGCTTTCCCCAGCCCTCTCCCGACTTCTGCCCCGCCCTTTAAAACAGACTGTTTCTCCAGTCTTAGGGGCCTAAAATCCACCCCCACCGCTCGCCACTTTCCCCAGGTACATTAGGGAGAAAACCCTTTTAACCAAATGTCACTTCTTCCAAAAACATCCTTTCATCAACGTCACATTAAGAGTGGTTAGGTTTTTAAAGGAAAGAAGACAAAAAGAAGAGGGGACTGGATAAGAACTCTGTTTTAGTTTTTTGGGTGGTGAATGTGGGGGGAGTGTTTAATAACGTCATTATCACTGTATCGTGAAGGTTATTCGCGTCACGGCTCGAGAAGGAAGGTAAATCCGGAGAGCAAATGAAGCCCTGTACAACCCCATTAAGCCTGGGCAATCCCAAAACAGCGGAGAGGGGGTGACAGCAGCTGAGGTGGAGGCCGCTCCAGGCCCGGCGACTTCACAATTCCGTCGGCGGGAGACACCCATCCCCCACCTACCACCCGGCAGATCCCCGGTCCCTTCCCCCGCTGGGGCGACGGGCTCCGGTCCAGCCTGCTCCTCTCGGATTGAAATTCTCGGGACTTCAAAAGCTCCCAGCGTGGCTTCCGCCGGGGCTGGGCTGGCCTGGGGCGGGCCGGGGGTGGGTGGGTGGGAACCCGACGGAGATAAGATGCGCCGGTCGTTTTAAAAGGAATCGGAAGCCCGGCCTGGGCCCCCAGACACGCTGGTCAGCTGGAAAAGCTTCTCTTCCCAAGAAAACCCGGCTCGGGAAAGCGGCGCGTGCGGGGGCTGCCTCCGCTGTCTGCCCGCCCCGCTCGGGGGAGATGGCCAGGGCCCCCAATCACCCTCCTCAGCCTGCAGCAGGCCTCCCAGCGGCGACAGGGCCCCCGAGAAGGGAGAGGGCGAGGAGTCCGGCAACGGGGGCCTGGAGCTGGCTTGTCGGCTCAGATGTCGGTGAAAATAGGGGCAGAAAAAAAAAATGTTCTCCCTTCTCTGGTTAAAAAGTAAGAACAAAGGAAGCCTCCTTCTAAATAATAAGCGTGGTCTGGCTGTTGTGAATATTAGTCTTAGGCCGTGGTGGGGGAGCCAGCCTTCGAAGTTCTCGGACTGCTGGGTCCTTGCGGTGGGGACCGCGGGAGGTGGGTGGTTCTTGGAGCTGGTTCCCCCTTCTGCCGAGGCAGCTGCTGATGCCCTCTGGGAACCCTGTGCCACTGCTGGGTCCACCCCTAGGGAACAAGGTCCAGTGGCTCTCACACACTTACAGGTAAATCAGGGTTGGCCACTCCCCTCACCTCTTTGCACTAGTGGAATCTGCTGAGAAAGTCCGTGGCAGCCGTGCAACTGTGGCAGGCACCATGGAACAGTTTCTCCTTCAGACAAGGGGAACCTGCGGCTTCTGGAACTCTGATTTCGAAGAATGCCCCCTCTTCTCCACCCTCCTGGAACAGGAAGCTGAATGCTTCTCAGGTCCTGAGAGCAGCTGGACCTGCTGCACTCCTGCCTGCATACCTGTCTGCCTGGGCTCCTTAAGGCCAGCCTAGTGACTTCCTGTCCCTGTGCTAAGGATGTCTGGCCCATATCCCCATGCCCACCACTGGCCCATCCTGGGGCTGGAAGACCCAAGGTGGGGGACCGGCAGGCTGAGGACCTCCTCAAGCTCAAGGCTTGTCCCACCTCAGCCACTGACTGGAAGGGCCCAATGCAGTTTGTTTGTGTCCAAGAGCAATTCTCCAACACCCAAGCACCCAAAGGCCCAGACATCTCCCTCCCACGCCCTAGCAGAGATGCTATGGGTTCTTTTTTCATCATTATTGTCCTGAAGCTTGCTTTCATTACAAAGCACATTGATACCCATTTCTCATTTAATCTAACACTCTCATTTAATTTAACAGTCCTTTAAAAGGCCTCAAGAGTCCACAGTGCCTTTTCTCCCACAGTTGTAGGATGACCAGTGGTCTTGACTTAGATGGCCAGGTCATGGCTGAGTATCAAGCCAGGCTCAGTCTTCTTCCAAGGCCATGTCCCTCCCTGGCCTTCAGGGATGCCTCAACACCCAGTAATGCTTCTTCTTTTCCTTTTTTTTAAAATTTTTTTATTTTTGAGATGGAGTCTTGCTTTGTCGCCAGACAGGAGTGCAGTGATACGATCTCAGCTCACTGCAACCTCCACTTCCCAGGTTCAAGCGATTCTTCTGCCTTGGCATCCTGAGTAGCTGGGACTACAGGTGTCTGCCACCACACCTGGCTAATTTTTCTTTTTTAGTAGAGATGGGGTTTTATCATGTTGGCCAGGCTGGTCTCAATCTCCTGACCTCATGATCCGCCCACCTCGACCTCCCAAAATGCTGGGATTACAGGCATGAGCCTCTGTGCCTGGCAACCCCCAGTAATGCTTTAACTCTCCATAAGACAACACTCCACAAAGTCTCAGCCTTTGCTAGGGGTTAGGTGGGTCCATGGGCCTCTCAGAGAGTGTCCCCCTGCCCTCAGAAGTATCTGTATGGCTGGAAGTCTCAGGGCCCACACAGCTGGACTAGTCTTCATCCTGCCACCCCTATCCCTTACCCCCACCATACTATGTTTTTCCAGGACAGTAAAGAGAAATCCTTCTTGGAAGTCCGGGGCTCTCACATGATAAGAGCAGTCACTGCTCTAAGTGTTTCGTATGTATTAGCT